TAGGCACAAATCTAGATTTATCATACTTAGATACAAATTTACATGTGTTAGATTTAGACAAGATAGGGGATGCTTTAACAAATATTGTTTTAGAACTTGAAGGTGTAGAACATTCATCAATATAGCCTAATCCTCTTTTATCACCATATGACTTTCCTCCTTCAAGTATTTTATCTAATTTTTGAGCACCTATTGTTAACATTTTAATAGATTCCTTAGCCCTACCAAGTTCTTGCAAATTATTTGATTCATTCTCTTTGAGCAATTTAATTAATTTATCTTTTTCACCACAATCATGCTCAAGAGTCTTGACTTTATCAATTAATGCATTTTTCTCATCACAATCAAATACATGCTTTTCACAAGGTACATCAATTTTAACAATATTATGATCCTTCTTCTTTAAGCAAGAAATTTCATTTAGTAAAGACTTATTTTCAATAATTGAAGTCTTATATTTCTTTTTAAGCACAACATACTTTGAACTAAGTTTTTCTAAATCAATTGTCATCTCATCAACAAGTTTAAATAATTCATGATAAGAAAGAGATTCAAGAGTTACCTCATCTTCTTGTTCATCTTCTTGTTCATCCTCTTTGTCACTATGAGCCATGAAGCAAAAATTTGCTACTTCTTCATCACTTCCACTTGCACTTGCACTTTCATCATTATCATCCCAAGTAGCCTTCATTGCTTTCTTCTTGGATTTCTTAGATGATTTGAGGAGAGGACAATCCGTTCTTATATGACCCGACTTTTTACATTCATAACATATTACCTCATCGTTTTTGCTCTTTTCACCTTTTGACTCTTTTTGATTTGTGAAATGTTTTTTTAATTGTTTCTTCCTTTTAATAAAATTTTTATACTTACGTGTGAAGTAGGCGACATCATCTTCATCAAGGACGTCCTCATCTTCAGAGTCAACTTTGATGGACTTTAGGGCTATACTTTTCTTCTTTTTGGATTCTTCTTCCATGTGCCCGTTCATGGTAATCTCATGTGTCATGAGAGAACCAACTAGTTCATCCAAAGGAAGCTTTGTGAGATCCTTTGCTTCTTGAATCGCCGTCACTTTTGCCTCCCAACTTTTAGGCAGAGACCTAAGAATTTTTCTTACATTTTCGGAAGTAGAATATACTTTTCCAAGATTTTTCAAAGCATTTAAAATATTAGTAAATCTAGTAAACATATCACCAATAGGTTCATTTTCCTCCATTTTAAATAGTTCATAATTATGAACTAACATGCTAATTTTTGTTTCTTTAACTTGATTGGTTCCCTCATGAGTTACTTCAAGAGTTTTCCAAATTTCATATGCCGAAGAACACATACATACTCTATTAAATTCATCATTACTTAAGGCACAATACAGACAATTGATAGCACTAGCATTCAAAGAACATTTTTTCATATCATGCTCATCAAATTCATTTTCTAATTTAGGCACCTCAATATTATTAACAATTTTTATTGGAATGTAAGGACCATTACTAACATTTAACCACAATTGATAATCAACGGATTGCAAATAAATTTTCATCCTAGCTTTCCAACATGTATAATTTGTTCCATCAAAATAAGGTGGCCTAGAAGTTGATTGTCCTTCACTAAAACCATTTTTAACACGTAGGTTTGCCATAAGCTCGAACAATAAAGTTTAGATAAAAAATCTATAGGAGCAACCGGCTCTGATACCAATTGTTGGATCGGTATGGCAACCCTAGAGGGGGGGTGAATAGGGTTTTAACGATAAAAGTGTTTAAACTTGATTAATTTTTTTTAATGAGAAAACTTTTTACAAATAAGTAGAAGATGATAATTACTAAAACAAAATAATTCAAGTCAAAACAATAATCAAGTAGAACATGCAATAAATCATAATAATAATCTTGAAATTAAATAGGAAAGAGTTAGAGAAAATGACACCGTAGTTTTATAGTGGTTCGGTCAAACTCGACCTACTCCACTCCCCAAGCGCCTCTTGGGAATTTGAATAAAGAACTTTTCCGACTCTTTCCACGGATCAGAGCCAAACCGGTACACCGCTCTTTTTACGAGTTCAAGAGCAAACTCAATCCTTTCCACGGCGTAGGATCAAACCGAAACAAGTATTTGAGTTTGATAATATCACACCACAACTCTCTCAAAGAGTAGATTTACAATTTGGGATACTGACAACTATTTCCTCACAATATAATAATAATCCCTCTCAAGAATAAGATGAAAAGAAATAAACTTGTAAGCTTGGAGAGAGCAACAAACAATGGAGACTTTGAACAAATGAGGATTGAAGAATGTATGTAAGTTGTGTATTTTAAAAATGTGGGGAAGATGAGTTTATATAGAGGAGAAAAGTGGCAAAATGTAGGATTAAATATTGATCATTGGATTGTGTTAGGAATAATGGAAGGTGGAGATTAAAAGTAATTAAATAAGAAAATTTTCTAAATTCATTTATTTCAAAATTTTAATATAATAGTAATATAATATAATAATAATAAAAAGTTATGTGAGTAACGGTCAAATGAAATTCAAAATTTATTATAAATATAATAATATAATAATAATATAAATGATGTGAGTAACTACCAAAATTTTAAAATATAATAATATAATAATATAATATAGTAATAATAAAATTCGATGTGAGTAACGGTTATATTCAAATTTATATTTTGTGAAAATAATTTTATTTAGAAATGTAATAATAAGAAAAACTCCACCATTTGTTACTCTTCCAATATTATAAATGTCATACTTTGATATATTTTGATTTGTCCATCATTTTGATTTTGTTGCCACATCATCACGTCGGGTATGTTGTCTCGACTCTAATTTCTTCGTTTTAGCTCTGATTTGAGTAATTGAAAAGTTGTTGTAATCGTTATTCCCGATCTTATGTCCTGGACAGTTCAAAAAACTAAAAATAGTTAATAATTAAAAGTAGGTTTGTTATCATCAAAACATCAATAATTAATTCATTGAAATTAATTAATGTGAGATCAAGGGCTAATAAGCCAACAACATGTACGGTAGATAAATTAGATTTAAAATAATAAATAATAATAAAAAGAATTAATTGACAAACTGATCCTGAGTTGTGAACTTTATTTGGGTTACGTAAGTCACCAACCCAATCACTTGAAAATTCGAGTTAGTCCAAAAGATTACTCTAATCGAATTCGACTTAACCCGTGTACACTCCTACTTCTTCGAGCTCAAACTCGAGCTTGACTAGCCATGAAAGAACTGACCACAGTTCGACAAGCCCTACCACATTAACAGGACCGTACCTACGTCCACAATGACTAAAATTTTAATTATTTTAATTTAATTCACTTACGTCGATTCCAATTAATTCAATTTAATCTCTTAATGATTATAAAAAAAACATTTTCGTAGAAGACGAGACGTACAAGAAGCTTTTTGCTTTATTTTGTTTTTAAATAATAATTACGATTAAGGACTTAAATAATGCAAGTATGATGATATTAATCTCATTTAATTATCCTTTATAATCTAAAAAATATCTTCAACACGATAATCAATGTTTAATTAAGTGGGTGATTAACATAATTTAAGTGATTAGACTATGATTTATTTCATAAATTATTAATTTGATTCTCCAATTTTATTCTAAAAAAATAATATGACGTCATTCGATTTAATAATTATATATAATGGGTGGGCCCACCATCCAGCGTGGCAGACACGTCACGATTGAATTATAATGAGCCGTACTTTTTATTGACTTTTATTCGCAAGTCTTAATGCCGTCTATTTAATCCATATTGTTAGATTGCGTTTCGCGGCCGATTTTGACAAAAAGGACTTCAATTAATCATTATCAAAGGATATTTTCGTAATTGTACACGTTTTTATTTATTTATTTTTAAAAATATTTCAATGAAAATTTTAAATATATATATATATATTAACGACTGAGACCAGAAATTAAACTAATATCTTATAATTTTATCTATATATTGTTCGTGTACTTCGTAAGTTGTTTGGCTTTAATCGTTATATTTTCAACGTATTTAATAAATTTTTAAAATTAATTTTGGTGCTTTTAATTTTTTTTTTATAAATATATTTATTGACTTTCCTTCTATAAATTTGAAAAATAAATATTTTATGGAATGGAAAATATTATTCCTAGTTCACCTTAAAAACTAATTTAAAATTTATGAAAATATGAAAATTAAATTTAGATAATTAAAAGTAGGAGATAAAATTGATAAATTATAAAACAGAGAAGCAAAATTATGTTTTTGGTTTTTTTAAAAAAAAAAAGAAAAAAGAAAAAAGAAAAATCTATAACTAGAAACTTAAAAATCAAATTAATTTAAAAACTTTTATTTGTTAATATTGATAGATGAATTATTTAAAAATGACATCAAAGGCAATAATTAACAATAAATTAATAAAAAAAATTACAATTAATATAATCACTTTTTGAATACGTTCAATTAAATACTTTGGAAAAAAAATGTCCTATAATATTAATGAAAGATATTCCCTTTATAATAATTATTTTTATAGAGATAAAAAATCGGCATATCGAAATTTTAGTAACCAAAATATAATAGTCGTTATTGAATACAACATTAAAAATAGTTTAAATCATTTTTATTGTATTTAAAATTAATCCAAAAACATGTTTTTAATGATTAAAAAAAATTATGATATAAAATTTTTCTTTAAAAATGAAAAAAAAAATCAAATATTAAGTTATTTTAAATTATTAAAAACATGTTTTTAAAATTATTTTTAAATAGGTCGTGTTTTCAAACTTGAATATTATGAATGTAAAGACGGTTGAATGAGAGTGTCCCACGTTGATTAATTTAGGGAATAATGGTTTATAATCAAACAATACGTTCTTTATTGGTACAAGACTTTCTATTGGTTGATGTTTTTTTTTTAATTCAAAAATCTGATTGGCAGTTGGCAAAACCGTTAGAAGCTGGAAGTGAAGACGGCCACTCCCTCCAGCTCCAACTGCAAGTATCAGATAAATTCCTCATCGATTCAAATTTCTCCTCCATTTTCTCGGAACTTCATAGCAGAAGAAAGCTCAAATTGATGCTTATTTCTTCAAACTCATGCCATTTATGGCCCTCAACTCCGTCGACCCTTCTACTCCTCCGCAAATGCGAGACTCAGAACGACGTGAATCAAATCCACGCCAGAATCATCAAAACCGGTCAGTTCAAAGATTCTTCCCTCGTAACCAAAATTATTCTCAATTCAATTTCTTCCCCCCACAGACCGCTTGTTGAATTCGCTCGCTACGTCTTCTTCACTCGCTATGCTGTTCAAAGAATTCGTCGGAATCATCTTGTTGACGATCCCTTTCTATGGAATGCTGTAATCAAATCGTATTCGCACGGGAATTATCCTATTCGAGCTCTGGTATTGTTCTGTATGATGCTTGAGAATGGATTTTGTGTTGATAAGTTTTCGTTTTCTTTGATTCTCAAAGCATGTGCTCGGGTGGGTTTGGTTGAGCAAGGGAAGCAGATTCATGGGTTTTTAATGAAGTTAGAAATTGGTTCGAATTTGTTTCTTCTTAATTGTTTGATTACGTTGTATATACGATGTGGGGAAATTGAGGTTGCACGGCAGGTGTTCGACAGAATGCCAATGCAGGACTCTGTTTCTTATAACTCGATGATTGATGGTTATGTGAAGTGTGGATTGGTTGATTTGGCCCGTGAATTGTTTGATTCTATGCCGTTGAAGGAGAAGAATTTGATCTCTTGGAACTCAATGATTGGTGGGTTTGCACAAACGAAAGATGGTGTTGAGTTAGCACTAGAACTGTTTGAGAAAATGCCTGAGAGAGACTTGGTTTCTTGGAACACAATTATTGGTGGATTTGCTAAATGCGGGCGCATGGAATTTGCGCATCATTTGTTCGATCGAATGCCGAAAAGGGATGTAATTAGTTGGTCTAACATGATCGATGGTTATGCGAAGTTGGGTGACATTGAGGTTGCAAGGAACCTGTTCGATGAAATGCCTGCGAAAGATGTGGTTGCTTATAATGCCATGATGGCTGGCTATGCTCAGAATGGTTATTACACAGAAGCATTAGAAATATTTTATACGATGCAGCGACAAAGAAACTTATCTCCCGAAGAAACGACGTTGGCGATTGCGTTTTCAGCTGTTTCTCAGTTGGGACACGTCGAGAAGGCTGAGAGTATGCATAGCTATTTAGTAGAAAATGGTTTTTCATTGATGGGGAAGGTTGGTGTTGGTCTTATTGACATGTATTCTAAATGTGGTAGCATCGAGAATGCCATGTCGATATTCAGAGGCATCGATGAGAAGGGTATCGACCATTGGAATGCTATGATCAGTGGAATGGCGAGAAACGGTTTGGGTGAGTTAGCCTTCAAGATGCTGATGGAGATGCAGAGGCTTTCCGTGATTCCAGATGATATCACTTTCATCGGCGTGTTGAATGCTTGCGCGCATGCCGGGCTGGTTAAAGAGGGGACGATTTGTTTCGAGTTGATGAGAAAAGTACACAAGTTAGAGCCAAAGCTACAACATTATGGATGCATGGTTGACATCCTTGGCAAAGCAGGGCTTATAGAAAGAGCATTGAAATTCATAGAAGAGATGCCCATTGAGCCAAATGATATCATATGGAGGACTTTGCTTAGTGCTTGTCAAAACCATGAATATTTTACCATTGGAGAACCCATTGCCAAACATCTTATGAGGACGGATTCTTGTAACTCGAGTTCATACGTTCTTCTTTCGAATATTTACACACGTCTCGGCCTGTGGAGCGCTGCGAGCAAGGTACGAACAATGATGAAAAAGAGGAAGTTAACTAAAACTCCTGGCTGCAGTTGGATTGAACTTAAGGGAGTAGTTCATGAGTTCCTGGCTCATGATAAATCTCATCCCCTTGTTACTGAAATATACTTTGTTTTGGATGGTTGTGAAACATCAAATTTGCAGGATATTGACGGTAAAACTGTAAAAAAAGGTTCTCGGACTGAATAATTCATTTGAACTTACCATTTTTGTTTTCACCTTCGTTGAAAATAACCCAACAAAGGAGCGTTATCGCCCTAGATTTAACTCAATTGGTAGTTGAATTAGCAAAGATCGTTCAATTTTCACAATCACACTCTATTGAGATTGTCAACATGATTGTGCGACATTTACTCTCGCCCGGAAGTAAGTTGGTGAATTTAAACTTGAATCGTTGTTGGCACGAGTGACACGCTCAAGCCTCTGACTCCATTCTTAAGAAAATGTTTTGGAGAACGGAATTAGAAAAAATCTTTGACTTTCCGCACCATCTATTTTCAAACCCAATTTGATAATAGCTCGATTGGCTAGCATCTGTCTCAATCAAGAGGTACGAGGTTCATGGTAACGTCATTGACCATGGTGTCAATTAGTGAAGATGGTCAAGACTCTCCATAACATCTTCCATTTTCAAAACCAACATGATCATAGCTCGGCTGGTTAAAACATATCTCTTCGATCAAGAGGGTCGAGGTTTATGGTAAAATTATATGGACCATGGTGCCAATTAACAAAGATCGTTTAGACTTTCCACGACATCTTCCATTTTCAAAACCAACTTGATCATAACTTGACTTGTTAAAGCATATGTTTTCGAACAAGAGGTTCGAGGTTGATGGTAACATCATGGGGACATAGTGCCAATTAGTGAAGATTGTCGAGACTTTCCATAACTTCTGTTCTCAAAACTAACCTAATCATAGCTCACTTCAACCAAGAGGTTCGAGGTTCATGGTAACATCATGAACCATCGTGCCGACTTTCCATAACTTCGTCCGTTGACAAAACTAACCTACTTGATCATAGCTCAATGTTAAAATATATGTTTCGATCAGGAGGTTCGAGGTTCAATGTTAAAATATAGGATGTCAATTAGCAAAGATAGTCGATCGTTCTAAATTATTAAAAATTATACCGATTAAATTGTTACATTTATTTAAAATAAATTATTACAATTTTGAAATCAAACGGAAGCGTAGAACTAAGAAATGTTATTCTTTAAGGAAAAAAATGAAAATTTTGAAGGGAATTCTGGAGAATAAGCGAAGGTGGAGCGCCGTCTAAGGTGTCTGTGAAGAACCATGAGAATTTGCAGCGAACGGCGTCGTTTCCTCTTCCTTCTTCCTCTTCTCTTCTTCCTTCCTCATCTCCTCTCCTGTCAGTTTCTCGCCTCTGAATCTCTCATATCCCTTCAAGCTTTTGCCATTTCTTGTTAATCCATCTAACGTTAAGTTCCTGATTCAGTTCTAGAGTTGCATCGTGACCTAACCTTGCAAGATCAGCCCAACAAACGAAGCAAGAAATTCGACCATTTGATTCTTGGCCCTGCCGCCGGCCAAGGCCACCCCGATCGGTTGCAATGCTCAGGTTCTTATTGCTCGCACTTATCTTCTTTTCATGCTCTAATGTCGACTTAATTGCATGAAGTTTTCTTCCCTTTCAATTCGGATTTCTTCGCGTTCGATCCAATTATTAGTTGGTTGAAATTGAGCTTCTGGTTAGTGAAGTGATGGAATTATATGATTTCGTCCTCGTAGAATGGATTTTTCCTTTAGAATTTTGAAATCGTGCTCTAGTTTCAGGCTATTTTGTTGTTCTTTTACTGCAAGTATAAGATGAATGGCTTTGTAATGTGCTTCCTCTCAATGGATTTGGATCTCGCTACACCGTCTCCAAGTCCTAACAACCGGTACACCATAGGTTGGTCCAACCCAGTCCTCTCGTACTAGGGTTGGCTCCTCGCAGTTCTCCCTATAACATCAACGGTAGATAGGAATTGAACTGTCTCACAACGTTCTAAACCCAACTCACGTACCACTTGAATCGGTGAACAACCGAATCCTTGGGACCTTCTTCAACCCTGGATGTGATGAGTCGACATCGAGGTGCCATAATTTGTGCATTGACGTTGTGTGGATAATTATACACACAGAAGTACAGTTGTTAAACCCTAGAATGTTAGCTCTGTTATTGCCTCGAGCTTTGGTTAAACCCTAGAATCTGTGTTTTGAATGTCTGTACTCTGATTTTTGCAGGCACCAAAGCCCTCAACAGCACTCACTTCCCTACAACTCCTCATTCGGCGAATACTGAGGACAACGTCCACTTTGTAACTGTCTTTACCGTTTATAATGCTTCTCAGGATTCTAAAGTGATTAGCAGATCAACTGACGTTGTAAAAGTCGGGGATGCTTCATATAATAAAGTGGAGAGGTCGATGGCTGTTTTAAACGTCTTCATCGACTTCATTCAGGTATTAATATGCCGATTTTTCAATCAAATTTGGTGGGTTGCTAGTTGGAAGTTAGAGAGATTGATATTAGGGGTTATAACTTGTAATAACATGAAAGGAGGCCTTGTTTCACCTGCAGTTTTTGAGTTAGGGAGTAGCTCTTTGGTATGTAATTCTTTTTTCAGTTTCACGGAGTAACTAGGTTGAGAGGAATATGACAATGTAACTGTCCAAGTCCACCGCTAGCAGATATTGTTAGATATTGTCCGCTTTGGCCCGTTACGTATCGTCATCAGTCTCACGGTTTTAAAGCCCTAGGGAGAGATTTCCACACCTTTATTAGGAATGCTTCGTTCCCCTCTCCAACCGATATGAGATCTCACAATCCACCCCTCTTGGAGACTCAGTGTCCTCGCTGGCACACCGCCCGGTGTTTGACTCTGATACCATTTGTAGCATTCCCCTCTCCAACCGATATGAGATCTCACAGACAGGTTTTAGAAGTGACGGCCGTCTTTCGGGGTGATTTGATTGTTAGCTAGGCTGAAAACCTTTCTCCGGTCTTTGTTTGTAAAAAGTTCAATAGTAGTCTATTAGCTCTTATTCTCATCGATTGGATCCTTTTTTTTTTTTTTTTTTTCATCAATAGTATAGATTTTTGTATAGACTCCATGTTAGGATTGTCCTTTTTATGCCCATGTACATATAAAAAAATATAAGAAGAAAAGATATGCAACATGAACTTGGTGCTCATGGTATCTTTCTCGATATTTTTTTGTATAAATCAAAGATTCTTTCTCTTTAACGAAAGTAGCTAGGCAGATTTAGATCGACCAAATTTACTGCCTAATTGGTTTAGCTTATCGATGTCCTTGAGTCCAATGAGGATAAAGAGAATAGCCCGGCTTGTTCAACATTTTATAGGAGTGGATAACAGCGGGAAAAAGCATATTTAACTCAGAATCCAGCCCTTTGCTTCCTATCATAATATTTCTCGTCTAATCATATCATACAAATTGCAGGTTTCAATGCCCCAGAGTAATGTAATAATTTTAACCGATCCAGCTTCAGATCTACCGATACGCAGAGATGGAGTGGCTGTGTATCCAATACAGGGTGAATATTCACGAGACACATTGATGCTTCAAAGAATCAGGTCTTACTTGGTAAGAACATATCTCATTAACATATAGGTAGAATACTCCCACTGGAGTTTTATAGTATTTTCCTCAAGATTTTTTATAAAAGATTCCTCAGAATAATTTACTACTTATAATAATATCCGAAAAGGCACGTAATATGAAGGCAATGAATTGATGATGGACATTATTCTCTCTTTCACTAACTTGCAATTTGTTGCTGATGATTGTAGAAGATAATATTTTTGATTTAGAGGGGTAAATGGAAATATTTTGGGAATACCTTCCTCCTGAAGTTGGTTATGCAATTATGCAGAGCTTTCTAGATGCTAGACTAGCGGAGCAACGGCGGGGTCCAAAAAATACTGATCATTACATCTTCACGGACTCGGATATGGCGGTGGTCGGTGATTTAGGAGAAATCTTTCATAAGCATCCAAATTTTCATCTGGCTCTCACTTTCAGAAATAACAAAGCACAACCTTTGAATTCAGGGTTTATAGCTGTGAGAGGTACTGAAGATGGAATTCTAAGGTATATGTTATGCACTATATACTGCTTTACTTTTTTTGCATTGATTCATTAGCCATTTATTTGGTGTGATTGTTCTTATTGACTCGATACCGATATGTGAAGGGAGAGAGTTTTTTACAAATGTTCAATAGTTTATTGAAATGGAGAGTTAAAGGGAGTGTTTTTTTTTGTAACCGCCCCAGCCCAACAGATATTGTTCTCTTTGAGCTTTCCCTTTCAGGTTTCTTCTCGAGGTTTTTAAAACGCGTTTGCTAAGGAGAGATTTCCACACCCTTATAAAGAATGTTTTGTTCTCCTCCTCAACCGACGTGGGATCTCACAGTTTTACACAAATGTTCAATAGTTTTTAGTAAAAAAGAAAATGAAGGGTGGGGCTTTTTAAGTCTTGGCTCTATCATTACATGTTTCCATTGATGAAGCTGTTTACAGAGTTTCTACTGAAGAGTCGGTCTTGTTCGAGTTGTCACGTATTGTAGCAATTTTAAAACGTAGACTATTATGCAGAGCTAAGGCTTTTCTCCAAGAAGTACTGAAGATATACAGTTCAAAATTCATGAAAGCATCACGAATGCTCGGAGATCAATTAGCTCTTGCATGGGTTGTGAGGTCAAATCGTTCATTCGATGCAAGGAAATTCAGCAAACCAGAAACCTTCATAGAAGAAATTAATGGCGTTTCGGTACTTTTCTTACCGTGCGCCTTGTACAATTGGACACCTCCCGAGGGTGCAGGTCAATTCCACGGCATGCCCATGAATGTTAAGGTATCATATTACCTAAGAAATCAACAATTTAGAAGAACGAGGTAGAGTTTAGCTGTAATGTTCATAATTTTCTTAACAAAAAATGCAGGTTGTTCATTTCAAAGGATCAAGAAAACGACTGATGCTAGAATCTTGGAACTTCTATAGATCCTCTTCCAGCATCTCGGACATGTTGTGCCTCATTTTAAGCAGTGGCCGAACGAAGTATGATTTTTAAACAAAGGTTAGAGCTATTGTTTTCTCTCTTTTGTTAGCCTCCAAATCCATTTGAGGGATCTTCTTCTTCTTGAGATTATTATGCTTCATAAATTGTTCTAAAGCTCTGTACATTATACTTTTCTTTTTTTTAACTAAAAAGTTTTACATTCTTTATTATTGAATTCCCCAACTGATTTGTATTTTCTTCTAGAAAAAAAGTTATAGAAAAGATTGATTGATTATTTAGATGACTACTTTTGTATTGAATTGATATTCTTTTCGTGTAGGTTTTTTGCACTTTGAAGTCAAATATATATATATATATATATATATATATATATAAATAAAACATATCAATTTTAATTTTAGCTCATGGAGGAGAGATAAATGATAGAGAACCCTTTTCTGTACCTCTCATTTCAATCTTCATTTCCAAAATTTCAAGTTTTGGCAGGAATTAAGAATTTGTTTGAGAACACTGTGGAGATACAGGTTTTGTAGTCGGATCAATGCACCGTACTATTTTTTAACCTTGAAAGGAGTCCTCATGATGTTATTACGGATGTTTGAAGTGCAAGAATAAATTCGAACTCAAAAGGAGTCCTCATGATGTTACTTACGGATGTTCGGAGTGCAAGAATAAAGTTAAACTCAAATAAGATAGGATACAATCACAAGGCAGGCATGGGACTAATTTGATAGGATACAATCACAAGACAGGCATGGGACTAATTCTTTTACCGCCACAAGGCAATTCTTTTACCGCCACAAGGCAGGCACGGGACTAATTCTTTTACCGCAACAAGGCAGGCACGGGACTAATGAAACTGCTTAGCTCGTTGTTGCAGGCACGGGACTAATGAAACTGCTTAGCTCAATATGATGACCTCTATATACCTTTTAGGTTATGTAAAAAAAGCTATAGGAATTTAGGGGATTGAATTGAGAAACCTAGATTAAGAAACTTAGAAAAACCACAACCCTAGTCCTAAGAAGATGGTACACTTGGGGCATATTTGTAAATCACTAATAAATTTAAGTATAGTGTATTTAAATAATAATAATAATCCCCACTAACGAGGAAGAATCAGAGATTCTAGACCCTTCCACAAGCTATTTTGAACTGAAAGATTAGTAGGATATCCTTGAGAAGGAAACCCTTTGAAAAAATTGGCGTATGCCGGCGATTGCGGCGGGCACACGGTATTCTTTAGTAAAAGGCGAAAGAATAGTTCGCTCTGTGCTCACCGCGCGGCTGCGTGATGTTGGAGAGTGGAGGTTCTTTCTATTTATATCCAGCGCTACCTTCCTGCTTTTCGAAACTTACCGATGTGGGATCACTTTTTGGAACTTCATTTCTCTTCTCCGTGCTCGCGTCTATGGTACTACCTGTGGGCCACCTGCCCCTTCCCTTTCCTGGATCGTTGATGCGTCTAATGTCCTCATCACCCATCATTTTGTACGGTTGAGATCAAATTCCAAAATAAATGAAAATTTAACACCAATTGGCAGGTTGATTTTAATATTTTAAATTTTATTTAAACATCAAATCATTATGTATGGATGGTACTTGAGTTGTCAACCAACTACAAATGTTATTATTCACTGCATCAAAAAAATAATAAATATAAATCCGTTGGATAAAAAATTGGCCGATATGTTATATAGATGATACCTAGATTGACCATTGAAAGACCTCTTATATCAATAATACACATTTTAGCGTTTATTATTGAATTCACTCGACCCAATAATACACATTCAGATATTCATGACAAAAAAAAGACTGGATATAGGTTTTGAAAGGAAAATAAAGGTTGCAATGTCAACTGGCGTCTATTATTGAATTCACCCGACCCAATAGTACCCCATTTTTGAAACGTTAGGTAAATCGGAATGTCAACGGGTGTCTATTATTGAATTCACCCGACCCAGACCCAATAGCATTTTTGAAACGTTAGGTAAATCACCAATCCCTAAAACGAACTATGTAGTGTACTTTATCTACTAGGTTACAAGTGAGCATTCTACTAGAGGTTTCTATTGTATCAATCTACTCTAGTTTAATTCCCGTTGAAGTATACAAACTCCTATTCATTAGATAGAGAAGATCGCCAAGACTATGAAATGATTGTCACTATCATTAAAAATGCGAATTCGTCTCCACACATTCGAGTTAAGTATTTCTAAGAAAAAGTTTTGCTAGTTTCAAAAACAAACATCGCTATCAGTTAAAAATACAAATTTGTCTACACACATTCAAGTTAACTATTTCTAGAAGGAAATATGTTTCAAAACTTAATCAAGACTTTAGCTCGAGTCCGAGATTGAGGTCGAGACTTTAGCCCAAGTACAAAGAACAAACGCTAACGAAAAAGAAAAGACAAAGCGTCAATTCATAAAAACACGAACGGTCAAGAAAACGAAAGCCAAAAGAAACGAAAATAAAGATGGTCGGAACAATAAGTTGATAAAACACAGAGCGATAATATCAAGTAGTTGTTAACTTCAGTCACCACAATAATTCAACCAAAGCAATAAATATCACCAAAAACAATTAGATCCAACAAAAACAAAACAAAACAAGTAGTCAATGGATTAAATAACCAAATCTTCAAACCTCTGTGCTAGAATTACAATCAAATTTGCTACCCATTCATGCAAACACTCTGCATTTGTTAACGAGTATCACTACAATTATAAGAACGATACTCAAGCTTTAGATCCGCTAAAAAGAATGCTATTAATGTCTTAACCATTGAACACCGTTCGAGTAGGCAATACATGGACTTCTGATACCACACGAGCTTGAGGAACCATGAGACTCAGCCAAGAAAGTAGAAGAAAGAAGAGTATTTGGGCATCAAACTAAAAACCGTAAGAGCCTAAGCTAACCACTAGTAAGAGCCTAAGCTAACCACTAGTAAGAGCCTAAGCTAACCACTAGCAGATATTGTCTTCTTTGGATTTTTCTTTAAGATTTTTAAAATGCGTCGACTAGGAATAAATTTCCACACCCTTATAAAGAATGTTTGTTCTATTCCCCAACGACGTGGGATCTCACAATTCACCCCCTTGGGGGCCAGTGTCCTCACTAGCACACCCGGTGTTTGGCTCTGATACCATTTGTAATAGCCTAAGCCCACCGTTAGCGGATATTGTCTTCTTTGGGTTTTCCCTTTTGGGTTTCCCCTCAAGACTTTTAAAACGTGTTTGCTAGGAAGAGGTTTTCATACCCTTCTCTCTAACCGAGGTGGGATCTCACATCAACTCTTTCAATCATGTTCATAGAACTAAGAAAATTCAGAATGAACATACATCTTCTAATCCTTGAACTGTCATTTTCTAAGCAACATATTCACATTCGAAATTCTGCTAAAAAAATCCACCCGAAAACGCAACAAAAAAACGCCATTAACGAAATGCAAACAAAACCTACTTTCCAGAAGAAATCATATGCACTGCCAAGGAATAACTCATGAACAGCATTGACAGAGCATAGAAACAGAAGAACTCTTCCAACATTTCAGAGACAAGGTTTGACGGACAATGTTAGATTTTCGTAGCAGCTGAAGTTACGTTAGTTTCATCGAAAACACAGTACACGGGATCCATGTTCCCAGCAAAAAGCTTGTATCCTAGGGATTTCGAGTCACGAAACGAAGGAACCAACAAAGAAGCTAGCAAGAATCGAAACTATTTTGTGCAATTTTTATTGAGTTGCACAGCATGATACAGGTCCACAAATCATGAAATGTCTTTATCAGTTCACAAATTCTACAGTTGTGAAGCTACTACAACAATTACATTCTGTCAACAAAAGAGGAAAAGATGTGTCCGGGTTTCTTCGAATAATAGTTTTCGAAGTTCTCGGTAAACAATATCGATCGAACGACAAAAACTTCATTGATGGGAGTAGTAAAAGGTTCCTCCTAGTATGTCATTCCATTCAAATAAATTGAAAGACAAATCATAGCAATGAACATAGAAATGGCAAACCAACAAATCATACGAATCATAATGAACAAGAATCAAAGTAGCCTACCATGTAAATGCCGAACAATCGTCGCGCTACGCAGCAGTCTTCTTCCCTAGCGAATAATAATTCAGATACCACCGGACGAACTTCTTCAGCCCCATCTGAAGATCTGTGGTCGGTTTATATCCAAGTTCCCTCTGAGCCAAGCTGATATTGGCATGAGTGAACTGAACATCACCATTCCTTGGCAACCTCATTATGTTCCTCTTAGCTTTCACCTTCAAAAGCTTCTCCAAAATGCTCACGAGATCCGACACCGGCACGGGCGACGTATTCCCTAAATTGAAAACCCGTAACTGCGCCGGTCCCTTCTTCTTCCCTCCACTGCCAGTGCTCTTCTCAGCAGTGTCCAAAGCTGCCAAACAACCCTTCACAATATCATCAATGTAGGTGAAATCTCTAGCCACAGTGCCATGATCAGCACCTTCAAAGATGGGGATTGATTTCCCTTTCAAAATATCTCTAGTGAAGAAGAAATAAGCCATGTCAGGCCTTCCCCAAGGTCCATAAACAGTGAAGAACCTCAGCCCCGTTAATGAAAGTCCATAGATATGATTATAAGTGTGTGCAATCTCTTCACCGGCCTTCTTCGTCGCTGCATAAAGACTCGCCGGTTGATCGGTTCGGTCCTTTTCCGAGAAGGGCACTTTTGTATTCAATCCATAAACAGAACTAGAAGATGCCCAAACAATTGCAGGCTGTGGATTTGCAGATTTACAGACTTCTAAAAGACTAACTAAACCAGCAATGTTGCTATGAACATAAGAGCTAGGATTTTCCATGGCGTACCTGACGCCGGCCTGAGCAGCCAAATGCATCACATGAGTAAACGGAACAACTTCAAAAAGCTTCTTCAACAGAGCCGAATCGTTAATATCGCCTTCAACGACGAACACGCCAGTGCGCTCCAAAAGCGCTTGACGGGCTCGTTTAAGGGATTGCTCGTAGTAATTGTTGAAATTATCGAGTCCAAGAACGCCGTCGCCTCGACGTTTCAGCGCCACAGACACATGAGTTCCGACGAATCCGGCGGCTCCGGTGACGAGAACGGAGATCCCATTACGAGACCGAACTCGAGCGGATGAGCGAACTCTTTTCTCCCAAGCCGGTCCACCCCAATCGTAAGTACTAAGCGATCGGCGGGAAGGATCGGATTGCAGCGGCGACGACGACGGCGATCTGAAGAAGAAAATCAAGATCGAGCCGAGAAAAACCAAAGACCAGAATGTAAGCTTCGTTAACGAAGAATGCCACCGGAGTCGATGAATATACGGCGATTTTTCCATCTTAAACTTCCCGGGAGTGGAAGGAATGTTATCGAGATGGGACATTTGATTTTCTCGGCAAAATGAGGGAAAATCAACGCACTCAGATTCAATTTCCCTTACCTCTAAACAAAAATCTCACAAATCGGACTCAAAAAAACCTCGAACGGCTAGGGTTTCTGCAACTGATCCGACGAAAATCCTCCGGCATCGACGGAGAGAGGCTAAGAACAAGAGAAAATAGGGAAATGGGTCGGCGTTAATGATGATATTCTACCACTTTTCCATTAGAGAATCTTCTGGTTTCTTGGAGGAAGAAGATTTGGCGGTGAGGGCTCTTGATTTACGGGGTTTATAGCCAAACAGAGAGAGAGAGTGAGAAAATGGGGAAGAGATCATTTAGGATTAACCATTGTTGACTAATGGAAGAAACATCACTTAACCATTTCAACCATGGAAGATCAAGAGAAGCTTGATTTTTTTTTTTTTTTTTTCTC